AGAAGAAGAAAAAGAGTTAGTTGGAATTTTGAAGAAATACAAGGAGGCTATTGGTTGGACTATTGCGGATATAAAAGGATTGAGCCCATCATTATGCATGCACAAAATACTGATGGAAGAGGACTTCAAGCCAACCCGTGAAGCACAGAGGAGGTTGAATCCACCTATGATGGAGGTGGTCAAAAAGGAAATCATGAAGCTCTTGGATGCAGGTGTAATCTATCCTATTTCTGATAGTAAGTGGGTGAGTCCTGTGCAAGTAGTCCCGAAAAAAGCTGGAGTTACCGTTGTCAAAAAACTCCGAAGGGGAATTGGTACCCACCCGTGTGCAAAACGGGTGGAGAGTTTGTATCGATTATAGGAAGCTGAATGCTTCCACCCGCAAAGACCACTTCCCTTTGCCATTCATTGATCAGATGTTAGAACGATTGGCCGGGAAATCCCATTACTGCTGCCTTGATGGTTTCTCTGGTTTTCATCAAATTTCGATTGCCCCGGAAGACCAAGAGAAAACCACATTCACATGTCCCTTCGGCACCTTTGCGTATAGACGCACGCCCTTTGGTTTGTGCAATGCACCCGCAACCTTCCAAAGATGTATGGTGAGCATATTTTCAGAATATGTTGAAAATATCATAGAGGTTTTCATGGACGATTTTACTATTTATGGAAACTCTTTTAATGAATGTTTGCAAAATCTCACCAAAATCTTACAAAGGTGCATTGACACGAACTTAGTCCTTAATTATGAAAAATGCCATTTTATGGTCGACAAGGGCTTGATACTTGGACATGTGGTGTCCCAGAAAGGTTTAGAAGTTGACAAGGCCAAAACAGATATTATTAAGAGCTTACCATACCCGACAAATGTTCGGGAAGTACGTTCTTTTCTTGGCCATGCAGGTTTTTATCGGCGGTTTATAAAGGATTTTTCCAAGATTACGGTACCGATGTGTCAACTTCTACAAAAGGAGGCTGATTTTTGAGTTTGGTGATGAATGCAAAAAGGCATTTGATCTTTTGAAAGATTTTTGACATCCGCCCCCATTATTCAACCGCCAAATTGGGATCTTCCATTCGAAATCATGTGCGATGCTAGCAATACCGCGGTTGGGGCGTTTTGGGACAAAAGGTTGATCGAGCACATCATGTCATCTACTATGCATCAAAGACCCTTGATAGGGCACAAGGCAACTACACCACAACAGAGAAAGAGTTGCTTGCTATTGTCTTTGCTTTGGAGAAGTTTCGACAATACCTCCTTGGAACTAAGTGATCATATATTCGGACCATGCAGCCATAAAACACTTGCTTACAAAGAAAGACTCAAAGCCGAGGTTAATACGGTGGATGTTGCTTTTGCAAGAGTTTGATATTGAGATCAAAGACAAGAGTGGAAAGGAAAATCTGGTTGCGGATCATCTAAGTCGCATCGTATCACCCGAAGATGGTAAACCCATCTGTGACACATTTCCGGATGAGAATCTATTTTAGCCAAAGAGGCACCATGGTATGCAGATATCGTCAACTACTTGGTCACAAGTCAATTTCCCCCAGATTCATCCCGTTGGCAAAGAGAAAAAATCAAAAAAGAAGCCAAACGATACATATGGGATGAACCTTACCTTTGGAAGTACTGTGCGGATCAAGTAATTCGCAGGTGTGTTGAGCAAAAAGAGGTACAATCTATCCTTAATTTTTGTCATTCCTATGCTTGTGGTGGTCACTTTGGACCCCAAAGGACAGCTAGGAAAGTTTTAGATAGCAGATTCTTTTGGCCTTCTATTTTTCATGATTCCTATGTACTTTGTGCACATTGCGAAAGATGCCAAAAATCCGGGTCCTTAAGCTCTAGAAATCAAATGCCCCTTACCCCTATTCTAGTATGTGAAATTTTTGATGTATGGGGAATTGACTTTATGGGACCATTTCCATCATCTTTTGGTTGCTCTTATATTTTGTTAGCAGTGGACTATGTGTCCAAATGGGTGGAGGCTAAGGCCACCCGTACTAATGATTCAAAAGTTGTGGTTGATTTCCTTAAAGTACAGATTTTCTCACGGTTTGGCACACCAAAGGCGCTCATAAGTGACCGCGGGACCCATTTTTGCAATCGGATGCTAGAAGCTGTTTTGAAGAGATATGGAGTGACACACAAAGTCTCAACGGCTTACCATCCCCAAACCAATGGACAAGCAGAAGTTTCCAACAGACAAATCAAAAGTATCTTAGAGAAAACAATCAATCCAAACCGCAAAGACTGGAGCTTAAGGCTAGATGATGCCTTATGGACATACCGTACTGCTTTTAAGACTCCAATTGGTATGTCCCCATATCGGCTTGTGTTTGGTAAAGCATGTCATCTCCCAGTTGAGCTCGAGCATAAAGCTTTTTGGGCGGTAAAGAAATTCAACATGACTGAAGATGAGGCGGGACATAAAAGGAAACTGGATATCCAAGAGCTAGAAGAGATTCGGAATGATGCATACGAAAGTAGCATGATCTATAAGGAGAAAACAAAAGCATATCATGACAGAGCAATTTCCCGAAAGACCTTTATACAAGGACAAAAGGTGTTGCTTTATCACTCGAGATTCAAGCTAATTTCAGGAAAGTTAAGATCAAGATGGGTCGGTCCTTTCGTAGTCACAAGGGTGTTTGACCATGGTGCAGTGGAAGTCACGAGCAAGCAAACGGGTAAAACATTCAAAGTCAATGGTCACAGGTTGAAGCCGTTTTATGAGGGATTTGAGGTGAAGAATGAAGAGGTAGAAGAGTTGGAGAACCCCACATACCAAGAATGAATCACGCATGGGGGACAAAGTCGAGCCACCAACTTGAAACAAGGGCGGCTAACCGGGAGACAACCCGGGGGTATTTCTGTCTTTTACTTAAAAACAATTTCCATTTCTTTGAGTTTTTGGTTTTCAATGTTCCAAATGCATTCAATCATGATTTAAAATCACCAGACGGACCTAGGAATGCAAAAGTATTTCATTTCTAAGAGAGGGAATTTTCAAGTTCAAAAAGTGAGGATTAGCATCCAGGGACCAACACGGGTCGTGTCCCTCTTAGCCTTAATGAAACACGGGCCGTGTTCATGCAAAAAAGTGCCAAAATCTTCTAGAAAGCAACACGGGTCGTGTCCCATTTTGGCCTGCAAATGACACGGGTCGTGTTAGTCCAAAAAAGTGCCAAAATCTTCCAGAGAGCAACACGGGTCGTGTCCCATTTTGGCCTGCAAATGACACGGGTCGTGTTAGTCCAAAAAAGTGCCAAAATCTTCCAGAGAGCAACACGGGTCGTGTCCCATTTTGGCCTGCAAATGACACGGGTCGTGTTAGTCCAAAAAAGTGCCAAAATCTTCCAGAGAGCAACACGGGTCGTGTCCCATTTTGGCCTGCAAATGACACGGGTCGTGTTAGTCCAAAAAAGTCCCAAATTTTTCCAGAGAGCAACACGGGTCGTGTTGTTTTTGGCCTTGACCCAACACGGGTCGTGTTCGTACATAACGCAGCATAAACCCCAACACGGGGCGTGTCAATTTAGCCTGGGGAGACACGGGTCGTGTTCGCGCAGCAGTTCAGGCCCTTTTTAAAGAAAAAAAATCGGGATTTGACCTCATTTATCCCCACTTTCACTTCCTAACAACCCCTCTCTCCCAACAAAAACCTTAGGTCCGATTTTCATCAAATACCTTTCAATTTCTTCAAGATTTTGACTTTCATCTACAAAAAGGTTTCATTTTCATCATCTACACTTCATCTTCTCCATCTTAAACACCATTTTCTTGCATTTTAATGGTGGATTTGGGGGTTTTGATAAACCCTAGATCCGAAAATTCTCACTTGATTTTGGTGTTTTAGTGTCTCAATCTTGAAAGGAGCAAGCTTGGGGAGGTTAAAGAAGATCTTTTCCATCAAGAACAACACGATCCAACACACGATTCGGTAAATTCTTTCCAACTCCTAACCTTTGAATTTTGTGTTCTTGAGTCAAATACTTGAAAGTGTGGTCTATTTGGACTTGATTCTTAGTTGGAAATCTTTGAAAACCAAATTTCCCGCGAAATTTTGGTGGCCAAGTTCAAAGTTGACTGGACCCGTCAACAGTTGACTTTTTTGACATTTTGACTCGTTGACTTTTAATCTGTCCCAAACTTGACTATGGAAGCTACATCTTCCAAAAGACCAAGACAAACCAAATCATCCGCCCGCCGTCGGAATCCTAGATCTCCATCACCTCCATCTAGATCTCCCTCACCTCCATCTAGGTCCCCAACACCCCCAGCCGACCCGTCTCATTTTGGTGTTGTATGTCTTGGCCCAGTTCAACAGGGCAAACTTGAGTCATTCCTTAAAAGAGGTCATGCCATCCAAAAATTCGCGCATGTTCCAACTTTGAAAGAGTTGCATGTTTACAATCAAGTCAAAACCCTGTTTCGCAACATAGGGTGGCCCGGCTTGTTGAGGGTCCATGAATTGAGCTATAAAGTCCCAACTGCTGAGTTTCTATCCTCAGTTTTTTAGATCATGGGATCCTCTACTTCCGTCTAATGAATCAAGACTATGAGATCTCCTTGGATCAAATCAATGACATTGTGGGGGCCCCAACGGAAAACACATTTGGCCCCACTGATCCAATCCAAGGATACTATGACATGACTTGGTGGACCCAGCTCACCCAATTGCATCCATATGTCTCTAGCGCTGCTAAAGCCTCATCACTTATCCATCCTGTGATTAAGGTAGCTCACATAATCATTGCTTCGCTCGTCGCCCCTAGAGAGGAGCGAAGCACCATTAGCGCGCTGGAACTTAAAATCTATGCAATGACCCATCCCAAGAATAACCTCATTCCTCATTATGGTCGGTTTCTGTGCCACAAGCTCATCCGCCTTAGCGCATCCCGATCAGGAAAGATTGTTTGCGGGGGTATTGTCAGCATGCTCGCCAAGAGCGCCCACATCCGAGCCCCATTCCCCGGTCCCCACCAGCCACTGCCGGGTGAGCCTTATCTCACCACTGCTATCCTTGAGTCAATGCAAATCTTCCGCTCGGCAGGCGATGGTACACACCACTGGACCGTGGGTCAAAATCATGATCCCAAGCTCCTCATCACACCAGAAAATAAAGGCATTCTTGATTTCCGAAATCCCATTCATATGACTGATTGACAAATCATTCCATACATCTTCCCCCACTCTTATTCCACTGAGGCCGATGAGCAAAGCGAAGAAAACAAGGAAGAAGGTGATGATGATGAAGGAGAGGAGGAGCCTCACCATGCTTCTCCCACCGGTGGTGGCAGCTCATCCCGTTTTGCTGCACCCCCGCCTTATCATCAACAATATATGGACGAATTCCAATCAATCCATACCCGCCTCGACACCTATCAGCAGGATATTACCAGCCTGACCCAGAATTTTTCCACCTTCACCACCCAGTACGCTCGGAATCAAGAGCGTCAACGCAAACATGAGGCGGACTTCTGGGCTTGGACCCAAAACCCCAGCTACTATCCTCCTCCTCCACCTCCGTTTTAGGTTGTTCCACCCTCTCCAAGCATCCGGGACGATGCTTATCTTTAAGCTTGGGGAGGGGTAGACTTGTATTTTAGGTTCGCTCATTCTCATGCATGCATTTTCTTATTTTCAATTTTTCAAATTTTCTTATTTTCTTATTTTCTTATTTTCAAATTTTCTCTTATTTTCAAATTTTCATTCATATGACAAAAAAAAAATGTACGAGATGATGACACTCTTTACATACAATTGCTCCATGAAATGAAAAATACCGAAGCAACCGGATTGTTACCGGAAGCATAGAATCAGCTGTCATAACTAGGGGACCCAAATATCATAATTCGAGACCCTACCCTCAGATAATAAAAAATTTTTTATATTGAAACGTTTTTTGGGCGGTAATAACAGCTTTAGGATGATTTGCTTTTGAATGTTTAAAAAGAATCTTTATCGGCAACTCTGAACCCACAGAACACGGACCTATTTGTTGACACGCGTTACCCCCGCGGTAACAGAGAGCTTATGTATCAGACCCACACAGTCGAGAATGAAGGAAGGGTACAACTGTCATATCCAGTACCCCAATCAGAATTTCAAATACCAAAACGAAGAAATCTAAAGAAATTCCAAAGATGAAGATTGAAGAATCCAAATTCAAAACGAAGTACAAATCAAAGCTCAATCAAATCAAAAGCCAACTCAAGTCAAATATGGCGAATGAAGAACTGTGTGATATGATACTTGTGGCTCTCGAAAAAGTGAAAGCATAGGAGCTGAACCCCTTCGGGTGGGCTCACTGTTTCAGCGAAAGCTGATTCGCCGTGACGGGTTCTTAAGGAGGCGTCGATTCTGATTCTTGGCCATTTAGTCTTAAGGACATGAAATCCGGACTATGTTATTTTCGCCCATAAAGCTTAGTAAGGTATAAAGATTAAATAAAACTTTGGTTGGAGTATTGGGTTACACCGTTTCGGGTCTTCCTCACATTGAGAGTCTGTGATATGTGGAAGGAAACAGGATGGTTGCCAAGGTATCAATGATCGAAGCCCTATTGATGTAAAGTTTGATCGTACCTTTATTTAGTTACAAAAGTACATATTTTGTGTTTGTTCTTAATTTTCTTTTCTTTTGCTTCATTTTGTTTCTCAGGTGCATTTGAACATATTTTCATGGCATTGCATTGCATGCATTCATTCTTAACCTTTAGGATCCTTCATCCCCTTTTCGTTCTAAGTTTTTCTTTTTGCCATCTAGAAATCGTCCTGTTGTCCGATTCTTGTTCTTTCTTGAGGACAAGAAAGGTCTAATCTTGGGGAGATTTGTTAGGTGCTATTTGTGCACCTTTTTTCACACCTTTTAGTCCCATTTTATGCATATATTTAGCAAAATTGTTCTTCCTTTTCCTTGCATTTTATCATATTCATTTTAGTCTCTAGAACAACCTTATTTGCACACTTTTATATCTTTTTCAGGTAAACCGGAGGTTGGAACGCGCTTTGGGAAGTGTCGGGAAGCATTGGTGGAGATTTCGGGACGATCCGGCGAAGAACTAAAAAGTTGGAAAAATCAAATTTGGAATTGGAGTCAGAGAGGTACACGGGGCGTGTTGAATTTACACTAAAAAGTGGGCACGGGGTGTGTTTGACCAAAATGGGAGCTGTTGACCATGCTGAACACGACCCGTGTCAGTTTAGTGCAAACCAACACGGGGCGTGTTGCTGAACACGACCCGTGTCAGTTTAGCCTATTTTAACACGGGCCGTGTTCGACCCAGAAACCAATTTTTGGCAGTTTTTCCTATCTTTCATATTACGGGTTAAGGGTCATTTTTAAGGGGGGAGAACATAACAGAGCACCATTGAAGGAGGATTTTCAAAGGTTTTTGCAAGGGTTTGATTAACAATCATTTGGAAACATTATTTCTAGTATTTGTAAGTTGTAATTGCACTTTAATTCCATCTTTTATTCTTGTGATCTTGTTCTAGCCATGTGTGGCTAGAACCCTAATTTCTCCAATTTCATGTTTTGACTTCTTGGTAGTGACTTCATTCATATGACATGATGTTTGTTCTTAATTTCTATTTAATGAATTTGATTTTGCTTCAATCGAATGTTTGATTATAATTATGATTCTTATTGGCCATTTGAATTAGGGTTAGGTCATTCAAGTTATCTCTTTTACAAAATCCATAATTGTTTTGTGAAATTGAATAAGTAACAAGCATTAAATTGATCTCTATTGAATGAATTTAGTGTAAATTTTATTCATAGACTTTTACACTCCCGAGCTTATGAGGAGTATTGGGTGTTGTTGGGAACATTCACATAAAGCTTCATGCAATCTTATAATCTAATCCTAAGAGCTTGTTTAGATTAGGTTAATAAGGTTAGGATTAATCAAAGAGCTTGTTTTGGTTAATTAATATGGTGAATGGGAAGTGTTAGAGCTTATTAGCACTTTCAAGTACCAACTTAGATAGAATTGAACGAATATTGTGTCATCTTGGAGTCACATTGCTAAATTGTCATACATGGGGTTGGAGTCCTCACAAATTCTGAACTTAATTCACGTGCTTAATTGACTGCTTATGTTTTTAATTATTTGTTTAATCATTACATTCTAAAACCCCCTCTCTTTTTACTATTGGTGACTATAATACCTTGTGCAAAGAGGTATAGACTAATTGTCCTGTGTCTCTGTGGATCGACCCTGCTTACCTTGTACTACCTTTTTAGTGCAATATAGTGGGATTATTTTGGAGTATATCATACCCCTTTATTTGTTGGGTTTGACACACCTAACAAATGTCAACTTTGCTCCCGAGTTAAAACATAGCTTGTTAAGTGTTTCCCAAATTTGCGACAAAGGCTATTCTACCCATTTTACCGATAAAGAATGCATGATTCTCAAGCCAGGCATTGTCATCCCAGGAGAGTGGATTCTCGTCAAATCTAAGCGGGATGGGAAGGCTTACATTATTGACATGAACAGTAACCTACCTGAACAAGTCACTTGCCTATTCTCAAAAGTCTCCGAACAAAACGCAATGTTGTGGCACCGAAGGCTCGGTCATGCTAACGCGAAAAACCTAAATCGCCTTGCCAAGAATGAGATGGTCCGAGGCTTACCTATCAGAGACTTTATTACATTTAAGAAGTGTGTGTCATGTGCCCAAGGAAAACATCATAGAAAACCACACCTGCCCAAGCAAGTCAACTCAATCAGTCAGGTGCTCCAATTATTGCATATGGACCTATTTGGTCCGGTCAACGTCCTGAGCATCAACAGAAGCTCATGTTGTCTAGTTATGATCGATGATTTCTCTCGTTTTACATGGGTCTTCTTCTTATCCAACAAAACTGGGGTTGCTGATTTGATAAAGAAATTCATTATGATGATTGAGAAGCAAACCAACAACCAAGTGAAGGCGCTTCGTACTGACAATGGAACTGAGTTCAAGAATGCGGTTCTTGACCATTTTTGCACCGAAAGGGGGATCGTGCGTCAATACAGCTCTACTCACATGCCTCAACAAAACGATGTTGCTGAAAAGAGAAATAGAACTTTAAAAGACACCGCAAGGACCATGCTTTGTGATTCCAAATTACATATTTTCTTTTGGGCCAAGGTGATTAACACTGCTTGCTATGTGCAGAATCGTGTTCTAATCAACAAAGTTCAGATGAAGACACCGTACGATATTCTCTATGGACGCAAGCCTTTTGTCAGCCATTTTCGTGTATTTAGCTGCCCTTGCACCCTTCTTCACTTGGAATCCAACCCTAAATTCAATGCCAAAGCCGATGATTGTTATTTTGTAGGATATGTTGCGTGCACCGCGTATACGGTTGACAACAAGAAGACTAAGCAGATTGTCGAATCCTATGACGTGCGCTGGTTGGAAGAGAATGAAACAGATGCTCAAGTGGGTCCTGACTGGCTATTTGATTACACATCGCTTTTCAAATCCTTAAATGTGTCTTCAGATGGTTCAAATGGATCTTCTTCTGGTTCGAAGATTGTGCCTGAAGATGAAGATGAAGAAAGTTGTCAACAGACCTCCAACGGTTGAGGGGGAGTCCTCTGCTCCATCTGAGGGGGAGTCCTCTACTCCACCTAAGGGGGGGTCATCTGATCAACCAAATAGTCCAGAGTCTAAAGTTCAAAATGGAACTCCTGATGCTGATGCTACACCTCTTACTCCTATTGAAATAGAGTTCATGTCTAGAGATTCTTCCGTTGTCAATCCAACTTTTATGGAACTACTCTTTCCTGAAGAAATTGCAAATGAGTTTCTAGCAGATTCGTCCACTATGGATCAATCAGCAAATGATGGAGGTTTCAACATCCACACTCTTCATGTTTCACTCAATGATATCAGCCAAGACATACCTTCAAGAATTCAACGCGATCATCCGATCGATAACGTCATTGGCCAGCTGGGTGACGGAGTTAAAACCAGAAGTCATAGTGGAGATGTCAACGCATGTCTCTATTCTTGCTTTATATCTCAAATAGAGCCCAAGAACGTTGATATGGATTTGAATGAGCCCAGCTGGGTAAATACGATGCATGAAGAGCTAAATCAGTTTGAAAAGCTCGGGGTTTGGAAATTGGTTGAGTTATCAAAGGGCAAAAGGTCTCTTGACACGCGTTGGGTCTATCGTAACAAGCAAGACGATTATGGTGTATTAGTGCACAATAAAGCAAGGTTGGTGGTTCGCGGGTTTTGACAAGTTGAGGGTCTTGATTATACTGAGGTTTATGCTCCCGTGGCTCGATTGGAGGCTATTCGTATCTTTCTCGCATATGCTTCCTACATGAATTTCACAGTCTACCAAATGGATGTCAAGACTGCCTTCCTGTATGGAAAGGTGAAGGAATAAATTTATGTTGATCAACCCCCTGGGTTCGTTAACTCAAAGTTCCCTAATCATGTCTACAAGTTGGACAAGGCATTGTATGGGTTACATCAAGCTCCTCGAGCATGGTATGCGACTCTAACAAAGCACTTGCTTGA